CACCTTCTCCAGTGAGCGTCGGCCATGCACCTCCTAGATTGGCAGCATCTCTAGCAAGGTTGCTGAGGGTCTGCTCATCGGCTGGGCCGTCACTCTTAGGTTCGGCATGCAGCTTGGCAGTCAGAATAGTCGGCTGCGTCGGCCAGGTGGCGGTAAGGGAATCTGCAGAAATAGTCTCTCCGCTGGGGAAGAGCTTGACAGCAATGTCATCATGCGCGGCCGAACGCCTACGCGGTGGTGTGCGGCTCCTATCAGGGGTGTTGCCGCGTCTATGTTCGTCGTGGTCTCCATCTTCTGGTGACCGACGTTCACCACTGTCGCTTTGGTCAGAATGCATTGGTTCTTCGTCTCCATCGGACCCCGGTTCAGCAGATTCATCGCCGTCTCTGCCTCCTTGGGGTTCTGAGTCAGAGTCACCAGAATCGGACTCACTGTCCTCACTGGAAGTGGGCCGTACATAGCTGACTATGAGCACCTGGCCAGGGGAAACGTGCATCCTGCCCTCGCTGATGTGCACATTGTCAACTTGCAGTTCGAATCCCTCTGGCATGAAAAATGTAAAATCTCGATGGAAATCATTGAACTCGACAATCCCTTCCTCAACGAGTTCAAGGTGAATGCCCTGTAAAATCGGTCTGGCATCGACAATGTAGGCCTTCACACTGGGGATTAGCCTACCGGGAGGGATGGGTATGACACTTATTTCGTCGGTGATGCCGACTACGGCTGTGCATGGAAAGCCGTGCAAGCTGACATCTTCAATTTGAGGATTCGCAGACTGCAGCGTCATGCGGTCCTCCTGGAGACCGTATTCCTCAGAAAGCACCTCCCTCCAGTGTCTTGCAGGCTGGCGTGGCCATGTGAGGAGTTGGGCGCCTCGATCTTGCACGGTGCAACAAAAGCGCCTTGCTAGTGCTGGTTCTGGCGGCCGAGGGCTTAACTCCCATCCAAAGGAGCTGAGAAGCATGACTGACAGCATGGCCCCAATTCGACCTGGATCCCACGCGTTGACGATAAAGATGCATCCAGAGGGTTGGATGTCAATCCATTCGTCCTGACCTATCGGAGCGGGATGTCCAAAGGCATAGACACTGACAGCTTCTGGCACAACAAAGCCAACAGCCCTGCAAATACGTTCCTTGTTGGCTCTCAAGGGGAGGTGTGTGGCATACATCCTGCCGTCGATGGCAGTGGCATCGATGCACACTACAGGCTCCGCATCACACCACACAGGTAGTGCAATCAGTGTGGCGAAATGTGTGGTAGGCTGTGGTTGCACTACATGTAGCTGCGGCAGCAGGGCCTCCTTGATGTCATCTCTGGCCTCTGCAACCCCATCTATAGCCCCTTGGACAGTCGCTGGCGCTCGGAGTGCTATGGAGACTACTTCGGGCACATAATCGACTGCTAGTACCACAAATGTTGCATGGATGACATCTGGTCTGGTCCCAGCAGGAGTTTCTTCGGCATTGGCATGAACGCCTGGGCCTGCAGGGTGTGGTGTCATAATGTGTGGCGTCGCAGTCGTGGGCAAGTGCTCTGGCATGTAGTATGGCACCTGATTACTTGGCTGGTATGGTAGCCTTTGTCCTGGTGCATGCTGTGGATTGGCAGGTATCCGCGACTGCTTGATACTTTCAACCGGCTGTTCCAGCACAAGTGCAGGGCCGTGCAGGAATGGCGCCCAATCGTTGCGAGCTAGCATTCCCTGAAGTCCTGCAGACGTGCAACAGGCAGGGCATGAAAGACAACCAAGCAGGAGGGAACAAAGACGAGCACCAATGGAGGAACCCCATCTTATTCTAGTGGGGCGTTTCGCAACAACATGCTTGACTCTGGGCTTCCAGTCCATGCTAGCGTATCGTGGGCTCCCTGCAGCCCCTAGTGCAATGGCTGGCCCATACCTTCCTGCTGAAAGGGTACCTGCAACGATCCATCCGGCAGGCTTTGTGGCCAATCGCAGCGGCCTACACATGGTCCTGAGCAGGCAAAGCATCAAGAACCCAAAAATTGGCGGACAAACGCCGGCAAAACCCTCACAGAGGAGACATAGGAGGGCGTCATTCAAGGAAGGGACAGGCGAACACCCCTGCGCCACCGATGTGTTTCTTAGGCGCCTGTCTGGTGCAAGAGTGCATGACACTAGCATTCCTGCAAAAGAGAAATCCCTACAATAGTTCTGCAAAATTGGGCTGCAGCCAAAGTTGGCGCATTGTCCCACAGAATCAAACGAGTGCTTGAACCCAAAACCGCTGCTGTGATGCGGCTGATGAAAAGTGATGGCCTGGGTGGCCGGCGAGGGGAGAATAGAAGTACCACAAACCCAATGGTATTCTATCTTCCGCGAGGATGACGAATGCCATGAGCCAATCGGAACGGCAAAAGACCAATGTCGCCGTTGGCTCTGGCACGGAGGGAAGAGTGGTGGAGTAGGCAGGAGGACCTGTACAGAAACCGAAGTGCCTAAGCCGCTCACTGTTTGTACAGACCTGTCTAGGAGCATATGGTAACCATCGCAAGCTCGCCAACTGGGCACCATAGTGTGAAATGAAACCCCAGCCATTTCACACCAGGCGCCTGTAGGGTGAGCTACGAAGGTCACCAAGGTACTCCGACGTTCACCGATGAAGGACATCGAAAGTTGCCCTCCTTCTCCGTGTATTAGCTGCTCCCCTCGTCGTCTGAAAGAATCTGTGGCTTTCCTGGAGGCTGCTCTGGCGGTGGTTCCCTCGGCGGTCCAGCATGTAGTTGAGCCTCGAATGCTTCCGCTGCGCGGCGCTGTTCGAGCTTGGCTGCCACTGATGTGGGCGGATACGGTGCCACCCGATGCTTCATGTGTGGCGAGGTCCCTGTTGGTGCCGCCATTGCTTGATTGGCTCTGTCTCCCGTGTTGATCGGCGATGCCACCTGTGCCGTATGCGGTAATGGCGAGCCTTGGTAAGGTGGCTTGTGGAATTGCTTCTCCTCGCCTCGATCTGATTTGTGATCCTGGCCCGTGAGGCCTGCAGCCTCGGTGGGTGTCGCAAGGCCGAAGCCAGGAGGCGCAACCCGTCCTGGTATGTCCGTCGACGCCATAGACCGCTGCGTCGGATCCTGCATGGGATCGAGCCACTGCGGGGGCGGCTGCATCATCCACTGTGGCGGCATCATGTAGTTGGCTCTTGGATCTAGATGATATGCAGCATAGTCTCCAAGCGGTGACTGGGCCGTCAAAGGCTTGGGCTGTTGCGGTGCCGCCGCCATGGCTCGCATGAAAATTGCCCTGGGATCTTCGTCTGTTTGCTCTTTCTCCCATTGGCCTGTCATTGTAGCCCACTCGTCGTCGAGTTTGGCTTGTGGCATTTTGGCGTCTCCACCTTCCAATGCCATGCTCCGGAGTGTCGCCCTGGCCTGGTCCTGAATGACCAAGGCTTTCTGGAGTTCCTCTGAAATTCTCTCCAAATCTCGACTGTGGCGTGTCTGCTCTTGGATCCATGACTTCTTCATCTTGTCCATGTAGTGACTCCACTGTTGTGTCTTCTCCTCTCGCTGCTGTGTCAATTGACGGACCCTTTGTTCTGCTTTGCGAACAGCATTCAAGTTTTCTTGGACTGTGGGGACGATGCTGTCCTCGAAAGTCATCTCCGCGTCCTTGCCCTTGCCACGACCCTTGTTGGCCTTGCCTCCTTTTGGCACTTGATGGGCATCGTAGTGCGGAAAGGCAATACCTGGGGTATCCTTGCCCTTCTTGTTGGGCCATGAGCCATGCCAGTAGCGCCAGTAGGCAGCCGAGGGCTGCCAATCGTCGTCCCATTGTCCTTGACCTTGGCCCTGGCCTTGTCCTCTGCCCATTCCGCGACGAAATGGTTGCGAATGATGTCGTAGAAGGGCGTAGAACTGCCGCCTCGATAGTAAATCGCCTGAGCGATATCGTGTCCTGGCTTTTGAGCGGACTTTCCGCTGCCGTCTGTGCCAGCTAGGCGAGGATGGTTTGCCTATGGCTCGTGTTACTCGCTCCTAGCGAGAAAGCGTGTCTTCGACACTGGGGCCTACAATGTTCTCCCGCTGATGGGAGCGATTTGGGCCCTGCGGTTTAAATTAGCAATAATATCCCTCAAGTAGTCCCTGTACAGTCAGGTCCCCATGGTTCTTCAGGTAAGGCTGAGGGAGGGACCGAGGCTGGGGGGGTTGGGGCTCGCAGGGGCTCTAGATTCGAGCTTTGGGGTTTCATGTCAGGGCTTTGGGCGGTGTTGGGCCTTTTCAGTCTTGAGTTGGCCTTTGGGGCTTAGGGTCCACATGTTGGAGTTTTGTTGAGGGTTTTCGGATCTTGAACAAACCTTAAACCCTAAACACCAACCTCAGTAAACAAAATCCATGACCACTACCCCTAAACCTGAAACAGCAAACTACAACTCCTAAACCTAAAAGCCTAAGGCTTGAGCACGAACCCCTAGCAACCTCAAGCTCGGATCAGGCCGCAAAGTTCGGGCTCCCAAGAGTCCGAGATGAGTGGCGCAGCGGCGGGGTTGGGGTTGGGGTTTCCGGTTCGAGCTTCAGCGCTTTAGGTTTGGGAGTTGGCTTTGGGGTTGTTCGGCTCATTCTTCTCTCCGTGCTTTGCTTGGCCTTCTGGGTTCAGGGTTCCGGCTGAAGGGCTTCTCTTTTCGAGATTTATGCTTTGAGGCGTGCTTCTTCGGTTTAGGGATTCGGATTCAGGGTTAATATGTAAGGGTGTTTAAAGAAAGCTTAACCTGTCACCTCCTCTACCCTTCCTTATTAATTAGAACCTACTTTGCCTGATTTCTGGGAGACCCTGCTCAGAACTCTGAAGCCCTGGAACACTCCTAATGCGGAAGCGTAAATCACTAAGACTATCTTATTGTTATACCATAAAGGTTCCCCAAAGCCTATTCACTTATACTTATATTAAAGCCCCTAAACTACTATATATATATATATATATGCATATACATATATGACAACATGCAGCCCATGGCTCTTTGATTAAGATCAGGCTGAGCAGCTTTTGCTGGGTGATGCCATTGTCATCCTGCTGCTGACTGCATCGGTAGGAGTTAGGATTAGGGGGACCCTGGGTGATGTAGACCCTCTCAGTAAGGTCCCTTTTAAAGGAGACATAAGTAGGGTTCAGGAACCCGTTTAAGGGTCTCCCTCATACTACCTAGCAATTGGGGAGTAAATAGGCCACCCTCAGCCCTCAGCTCCCTGACTCCCTACCGCCGACCCCCTCCCTAAATCTCCCTAAACCCTATGCTAAACCTACATCAGGGTAGGCACGCAAGGCAAGGGAAATTCCCACCTACACCTGCGAAGATTTGTCTGGCGAAACACTCCCTTTAGCCTTGCACCTTGAACCTAAACTCCCAGCCGCGAGACTCTAAGCTGAAGCGATGTGCTTAAGCATGCGGCGATTGGCACATTCGTAAGAATCCTCCAAATGGGATCCGACAACATAGGGTCTAAAATCTGTCCCTACTCGCAAATTTTCTGCGAAGTCCTCAAACAGCACGTCTGCAAAGTTCACCAAGGTTTGCACCTTGGGGTGCAGAGACGTTTGGCGTCATGTCATTGTCTGAGCAAGCAAACAGAGATCTTCCTACTGCCATAATACTATTAATAATAATGCTATAACACTATAATATTATAATACTATAGTACTATAATAATACTATTCATAATACTATAAGAACCCGAAGCTTCAATCTGCGGAGATTCGGGCTTGCGCCTTCGGACATTGGGGCCTGCGACGTTTGGGTTTAGAAATTTGCCTTGCCGTTTTGCTTTTTTTCGTGGCGGGTTCATGGCTTTTTATTTGGGGCGCGCTTTGGCGCAGAGTTTAGGGTCTGCTTTGATTTGAGGGCTGAGAGCCTTTCGTCTTTGTGAGTCGGATGTTTAGCTTAAAATTTCGGGACGAGAACTGTGGTGCTTTCTACTTGATGACACACAGGTATTGTACTGGGGTCCCCTGAAAGAATCCGTAGACGTAAGGGTCGCATAAATGGGGGTTCAAACGCCCGAGATACGGCCGAAACGAGAGTCTAGGTGTCTTGCAACTTGGATTGAAGGCAACCTAAACCCCACAGGCATGCTTTGGGGCGGGAGTGGGGGATACTGGAAAAATCCGAAACCCTCCACGCAAAGCCCTTTCAGTCAAAGAAGGCCATGAAACACCACAACTGCCCTATGAGAACTGAGAGCGTCACATCCACATCCTTAGCTGTGCGGCGATGACATGCGAACACAGGGATACCTACAAGTACCATAGCTCAGCGGTTCAGACTGGTAAGCTCGGAGTGTAAAACACTAAACATTAAACCCGGGTTCTCATGCTGAAGGTAGCCGAACCCCAGATAGCAGTTGAAAGCCAGGAACTCTGTTCCGGCAAATAGCCGGAGTTCCTCCCTTGATGTCCCATGTAGAAGTTCTGTGTATATATGTATATATACACTTATGTATTTATTCGTATTTATTTGTTTATACATATACAAATTAGGTGTAGATGTAGATATATATATATATATATATATATATATATATATATATGTGTGTGTGTGTGTGTAGATACACTGACACATATACATATACAGATAAGCATAAGCTCAACTTTCGAAATACAAGACAATCATGGGTTGGAGATGCATGCTTGCGAGTGCAAGTAAAGTGCCGCGTAGCGATTCCGGAGGCCACTAAAACTCACATCAGCACAGTTGGTAACACATTGATCATTGGAACAGGGCTTTAGGGTTCAGGGCCGAGGGGCAACAACATGCAACAGACAGATAAGCCTGGCAGAGGCCGCGGGCGGCAAAATCAACAGCTGTGCTTGCTTCAGACTCCGTACGATGACTGTTGTGACAACTGACTAGTCGGTCGGAGTTTGAGTTAGCAGCAAACTCACCTAACGACAGTGAATTGTGTGATTATCTTGTTGATAAAGCTAGTGCCACGGGTAATATTATGTGGTCGTACGGCCCGTTGCATCTAACACTGTTGATGTGGTAACAATGATCATCCTCATCATCCATGTCAGACTCGTAACAACAATGAGAATACTGCTAGTACTGAGCAATAGTCAAGAAGTTGTAAGGATGGCAGTGGTACCAACAAGTGCTGCTCAGACTCCACTTCGTGCAGGACCTTCCTGACCTGTGGGAGTTGGAGCATACCTCAGAGCCACAGCTGAGGAGTTTGAAGTTGAGGGCATAGGGTTTATACTTTAAGTACACTTGCGGGTTTAGGGTTTGCGGCTTACGCGGTTTGGGCGGTTGGGGGTTTAGGGTCTATGAATGTCCGGCCGACAGGAGATCGGCGAAACGTACAAAACGCGCAGGGTTTACTTGGGTGTAGGGTTTACCCCGCTGACCTGAAAATTAAGAGACATGTGGAGCATGAAGCCATGTCAGGCCCGCAAGGGTTCCTTTGAGACCTCTTGGACACGATTCAGAATTTCAGAAGTATGATGCTTACTTGGAGGCTCATGGGTAGTTATAAGTGGGATTATAAGTAGGGTAACTATACTTATAACCCAGATCAAGGGACTTATGACCCCACTTATAACTACCACTGAACCTTCAAGTAGGGTCTCTTTCGGCTTGACAGGCATTCGTTGGAAGCCAGGCCACCATGGAACTCGTTGAGATCGATGCATCCGTCGTTGTTGTTGTCTGATGCGGAGATGCACTCCTGGATCACCTCCTAGGATGCATGGGGAGGATCCTCTCTGAGGTTCAGCATTTCTCCCGGCTCAGGGTGCAGCACCTGAGACCTAACTTCTCAAGTTGATGAGTTGGGGTTCAAGGTTTAGGGCTCAGTATTTTTCTTAGGGTGGAGTTCAAAGTTCATGGGGTGGCTAAGACTAGGGCGTCATGGTTTCAAGGGTTCGGGCTTGCTGCAGCTTGCCACTGTGCGGACACCCAACCCCCAAAAGAAGGGCAACAAGCTCACAAATCTCCCTGCATCGAGGTCTTCTCCTGCTTCTCATAGACAGGCCAAGTTTAGGTGGCTATCATCTATCTGGCACTCTTCAAAGAGGCCTGATTTAAGAACAAACGACAGCAGTAATGACAGTAACTGGAACAACGACAAGAAGTGTAAACAGAAACCACAATAAGACATGCTAGTAATGTTGTAGTTGAAGGAGTAGAGATTCACTCTCGGGCTTGCAGCTATATCCCTCCCCGTAGCCATCCCTTGACCTCGAGAGCAACTTCCTCTGATCCATAAACCCTGAAGTCACAAGCCCTCAGTCAGAGCCCTCACCACCAACCTACACCCACCATGAAGCCGAGTCCACAAAGAACGTCTATGAAAAGTTGAGGGGTCTTTAGAATTAGAACCGTTCTGGGAAGATCTATGCTGTAAGGGGTCTATAGAGGGATACTTCTTCCGCTACTGCTACTACCACTGCTACTACTACTACTACTACTACTACTACGACGCCTGCTACTACTATTCTACTACTACTCTACTACCACGACTCCTGCTGCTGCTGCTGCACTACTACTACTACTACTACTACTACTACTACTACTACTACTACTACTACTACTACTACTACTACTACTACTACTACTACTCCTGCTGCTACTACTACTACTACTACCGCTACCACTACCACTACCGCTACCGCTACCGCTACCACTACCACTACGACGACGACGACGACGACTACTACTACTCCTACATTATCCCATAAGCCCTCAAGCGTGCAGACCCTAAACCCTAAGCCGTAACAGCCAAGGGGCACTTGAATAACTCACCTGCAGAGCCTCTCTTTCTGCATCAGCAACAGCTGTGATCACTTCGCACAGAATTCCAATCCTGGGCTATGCTTTGGCTTTGAGGGTCCGATATTCAAGGCTCTTTTAGAGCTACTACATACGAGCCTGGAGAACTAGGCTGCGGTTTCAGGGGTGGGTTGAGGGTTTAAGGCCTCAAGTTTGGGCCCAACGCCTTTCGCGTCTTTTGATGCTGGTAGAAGCGATGAGGGCCCTAAACCCTAAACCCTAAACCCAGTTCAAGCTTTCCAGACACGCAGGGATCGCAGAGCTTTCTCGTGACAATGGGCCTCTGGGTGCTGGGACCCTATACCGTCTGCGCTGCAAGAGCTAACTTAGGGGCCCTGATATTTAAAATAGGGCTTTAGGTTACATGACACTATACTTCTCCGAAGGAACCCTGAAATAGTATTGGCAATGATTTAGGCCCCTATATCATAGAGCCCCACTATAGACCCCTGAACCCTTTAAAGAACACTTAAAGGAAACCTAGTCTGATGGTTATCGAGGCCCCTGTACGTTGTTAGACCAGCTACTCCCGAGTCGCTCCATTGCCTTGAAGCACTCCTCTAGGTGCTGTGCCAGGAACCACCCGAGACATGAAGAAAGGATGGTTGAACGCTTCAGGGAGGATTTAAGCGCTTAGATATGATGATTACTCTTGTCAGGACTAGCACGAATATTCCTAGTACCACTACTACTATCACTACATGCCGCTTAACTTCAGGCCCTGCTGGCTAAATGATTCATGGACCTGCAGAAAGCCCGTCTGGGGGCCTTACACGGATCAGGGCTTTGGGGTGCTGGGACCTGGGATGCTCTCTAGATGGGTACGATGGTCCTATTTCTAACTATAGAGCCTCTGCCCTTACCTGAAGATCGACGCTCCAAGCGGCAGCATGTTCATGATGGTCACAGCCTCAAGTTTTGAAGTTGCTTTCGGGCTCAGGCTGGAAAGGGGGAATTCGCGATCTGCATCTAGAGTTACGGGTTTAGGATTTGGGACAAACAAGGCTCGATGTCTTAGAAGCCAGGAAGTTAGAACATCATTACCCTCATACCCTTAAAGTAGAGTATAAGGGATCCTAGCACTAATCCTCCTAATATGTTCCAACTTTCTGGCTTCTACTACAACTTAGGTTGAAACCCCTGGGTCCAGGACTTGCAGAGACCGCCCTGACACCCAGGCATCTTCAGTTCCAAAAGCCCAAGTCCCATCTTCTGAATCTTTTTGCGGCTTAAGGTAAAGGATTTCGCTTGAATCCCACGTCGCCCAATCCTCAAACCAAAAAAATGTTCAAAAAAGCCCTCGACCCATGAAAGCCTGGGCTTGAAGCCAAAGCCCCAAAAGAACCACGCGAATCTCAAATCATCCAAAAACAGGCAAGACAGATCCCGAACTCGCACCCTAAAGTCCATAATGCAGAGGTCTGAACCATTACAAACAAAAAACTCAAAAAATATACGACCATATACCGCCAAGCCCTATTCTTATCATAAAGACCCCATCGTAGCCACGAAACAACCGGCCTGAAAGCTCAAATTGCTGGGGCCCCGGCTGAGAGTGTGACGAAGGCATACCTGAGATTCTGGACCCCTGTAAAACCCCAAAGCCCATAACATCATTTCTCCTGATAGAACCCCATAACGCCCTTGCCAAACCCATACTATCCCTCACAGAACCCTTGTACACCGTTCAGAAGCTCATTAAACCCGAATGCTAGTTCTTATCCCAAAACCTCCAATCCTTAGGGCTGCGGGCATTAGAGTTTGCAAGTAGCACCCAAAACCTTGAGGTTTAGGGTTTAAGGCTTTCCAGGGCTCTTCGCTACTATGGCCTTGGTGGCTTCGCCCTTCGAACTGTTACTTTGAAGCTGTCGGGTGAAAGCCCTACGAAGTTCCCTCGCGAAGCCCTAAACCCTAAACCGTAAACCCCAATCCCTACGTCAAAGACAAACCTGTGAATGTAGTCCCTTATGAACGCCCTATAAGCCTCTAACACAACCCGGTATGCAGATTATGGCAGGTCTGCTTCGACACCAGGTGAAAATGCAGGGTCCCGTCACCCGAACTGAGTTTCTGCATAAAACAAGCAGAACAGGGGCTTCTGGGGTATAGTTCGTCGCAAACAAGGCACCTGCGCAATAATTTTGGTGCTTGAAGAGGCTTCTTCTATGTTGCTTCCTAGACGCATTCGGTGTGGCCCATATGGCTGAGCTTTGAAGCAAGTTTTGGAAAGCACATGTGACCAATGTGAGAAACGGTAGCATCTCCTACCCTTGATTCGGATTCGATCCGTGTGGCAAGAAACGGACTGGTCGGGACACGTAGGTGGCCGGCCCTGATACCTACTATACCACTTAGGGACCGGACATAAAAGCGTAAACGCTGTGTCTGCCTATCCGCTAGCAGACAAGAGGCCCAAGCCGTAGGAACAAAACACAAAACCGTTGGCTCGAAGATGGTGTCCCCTGGACCTGTTCCAGCAAAGCCTCAAGCCGTGACTCAAACCCAAACTGGCCAAGACAGGGCCATGAATTCAGAAGCCTCGACGGCATTCAAAAGCTTGCTGCAGCTCAGGCACATGAGGATAAATCCTGACTGGAACTTGCAGTGCTTCGGGGTCTTACGGGTCTTGATGCCGGGCTGGGGAGACAACCGCAACAAGTAGTGACGTTGGTAACAGCAACAGGAATTTTCAACAAAAGCCATAAGCCAGACCCCAAGCCCTAAATCTACCTGTCCGCTTCCACAAGAGTCTCCCGGCTAAGAGCTGCTGAGTCGCAGCCACCCTTTCCGAAACAAAGCCCATAACCATGCCCGAGCCTGAGCCTCCGATTTAGAGATTTGGGCTTCGGGCTTAGGGATTTGAGCTTCCTGGGTTAAAAGTATGGTATAAGGATTTGGGCTTAGGGCTTGTGGGTTTAATTTCGGTTACAGAATCTCTCTGCTTCGCCACTCAGAGAACCCCATATCCCTTAACCCAGGACGAAAGAACTTTCTATTGTGAGTGAACAACCCGGAATTCTAATCCCTAAACACTAGACCCTAAACCCTAAACCCAACTCTTTCCTGCTCAGAATGTGGTGAGCCGTCTAGGTACTCGGATACTCTGCAACAAAGTACAGTTCGTTCCCCGTCCAAGTTGCGGTTTCGGCTTTGGGGTTCAGGGTTCAGGGTTTAGGGCTTAGGTTCGGGCAGGAATTACGGCTTCAGGCCTAGGGTCTTTTTAGGGTTTAGGATTTAGGATCTAGGGTTTAGGGTTTAGGGAAGGTTTGGGTTTGAGTTTCAGGACTTAAGGTTTTTAGGGCTTGAGCTTTAGCGATTGGGCTCAGGGCACATGGCTTCAAGCCGTCAGGTTTCGCCAGACAACCTTCTTGGAACTGCGTGGGGCGTCTTAGAGCAGGGTTTTAGGGATTTGGGGGTTTAGGGTTTGGGGTAAAGTGCCAAATTCGGATCTAAGAACGGTGCCTCAACAAAGGTGTACACAGCCCTCTGGGTCCATTGAGAACCTGAAGGCTTGAAGTCTCCCCCTGTGACGCTGTTATGATACCCTGCTTAAGGACTTTGAAAGAAAACGAATCCCAAAAAACCTAAACCCTAAACCCTAACCCCCTAAACCCTAAACCTAAAAAAAACAGTCGCTCAATTCCTATCGACTTCCGTCCAAGGTGCCCGGTATGCTGTCGGTGAGAAGAGCTTCCATAATGTCAGAGACAGCATCCAAGAAGGTACCTGGGATTTCAGGTGCAACACAAATATTCGGGACTTTTATTGTTGAAGGAACCCCTAAACCCTAAACCCTAACAAGCATAAGCTTGCAGGCTTTCGGGGCCCTGGAACTTTCGGGGTTGGGGGGTCAAGCAGACGAGGGATCGAGGTTCAGGGTTCTGAGCTCCTTGTGTTGGATCAAGGACCATGACACCTATCCTGGGCTCCTCCATCCGGCTTGTGAACGGCTGATTTGCCTCCGAAACACCCCAACCCCAAGCCCTGAAGCCCTGAACTCCGCAACCCCAAAACCCTAACACGAAACCTTCTTCGATGATGTTTATGTCGTAAAGGCTATCAGAACCAGAACTATCAACTCAAGAAGCCATCTCGCAGCCACGGTTCCGTGCATGATCAAGGTGTGCATTGCGATGGCGCAGTTCGCGAACTTGTCCATCCCTGGCGGAAAGGTTGAGCTTCAGACCTCCTCCCTCAACCCTAAATCCCAACCCATGAATCCTAAATCCTACAGCCTAAACCTTACATCCTAAACCCTAAGATGAGAGGAGCGAGCCGTACCTCCGAAACCCACAGCACTAAGCTCTAGCTCGGACATCCGGCAGGAGAGAATCTACGAACCCTAAACCCAACCTGGAGCCTACAAAAACCTTCCTGTTTGGGCTCCATGTGATAATTTCCAGGGTCCAGTCCAGGTACGCCCTAAACCACTCACCCTAAACTCTGAACGCTAAGCACTTCTGAACCCTAAACCCGAACCTTCAAGCCTGAACCCTACGCCCTGAACCCTCCAAAACATCAATCATGAAACCGATCGATTCCCTGAACCCTTAAGCCTTCCAGGTCCTAGACCCACGGCTTCAGAGCCAACCCCTCAAAGCCTGAAACCCCGAAAGCCCTTCACCCCGCAAAGCCCTAAACCCAGCGCTGTGGACTTCGGATAGGTTCTGGCTTCAAGATGCGAGGCCTCATTGTTTTGTTTAGGGTTTAGGGGTTTAAGGTTTAGGGGTTTAGGGTTTAAGGTTTAGGGTTTCGGATTTAGGATTTAGGAATTAGGGTTTAGGGTTTAGGGTGTTTTGGGCGAGTTTGAAAGGCCTTGCAAACTCCAGGGTCTGCTCAGAGTTCTTGCGGTTGCTCCGGTTGCTGGTGATGTCGCTGCTTGGAGGTTCAGGGGTAGTTGTAAGTGGGGTTATGAGTCCCCTAATATGGATTATAAGTATAGTTACCTTACTTCTAACCCTACTTATAACTACCCATGAACCTCCAAGTGCTGCTGGTGAGGACAGGGAGAAGGGTTTCGGGTCAGTGTTTGGGCCTCGGTTTAGGGTTCTCTTACGACTGCCAATACTTGGAGGTTCATGGGTAGTTGTAAGTAGGGTTATAAGTAAGGCAACTATACTTCTAACCCATGTTAAGGGGCTTACAACCCCACTTACAACTACCCATGAACCCTAAACCCAAAACCCTTATAGACTCCCTATAGATCCCTTTAAAGGGACCCTACTGAACCTCCAAGTACGGCTTTGATACGGGTAAAACACAGGAGCTGCCGTCTACGGAGCTTGCGGAAAAGCCTGAAATGAAAGTCTTTCCGAGGCAAGGTTCTTACCTTTGGTTAGGAGGGGTTTAGGGCTCAGGGTTTAGGGGCTTAGGGTTTAGGGTTCAGGGTTTAGGGGCTTAGGGTTTAGGGTTCAGGGTTTAGGGGCTTAGGTTTTAGGGTTCAGGGTTCAGGGGCTTAGGGTTTAGGGTATGGTACTTACCTTTGGTTAGTAGGGGAAATGGAGGAATGGGGTACAATTATAACTACTATTACTACCATATAACTACCATATTACTACCATATTACTATTGTATAACTATCATATTACTACCATTATAACTACTACTACTACTACTACTACTACTACTACTACTACTACTACTACTACTACTACTACTACTACTACTACTACCATTCTTCCATTCCCTACTAAGCAAAGGTAAGGGTTCGAAAGCGTTACACCCTCGATGCTCTAAATTGAAACCGTCTAAGCACCCAGACAGCTAGGAGAGTTCTGCTGGGAGGCCTATCGGGGTGCCGTCCAGGGTCATGCGAAAAGCGATGGCAAAGACATAGACGCCTCAGCCCAGATCAACGGGCTGCTGCCCGTAGCACTTATCTTCTAAGATGTTGCAGGGTTTTGCATGGGCCTTGGTGATAAGAAGACGCTTTTGTGGTATACTTTAGGCAATCAAATAGAGGCCATAGTTGCGATGTGTAGGGTTAAGGGTTGAGGGTTCCGACAGCTCTGAAGCTTGAGAACCCTCAATCTCAAAGAAGTCAGGGGCTTAGCGTTGCTGAGCTCCCTCGGTTTGCTGTTCAGGGTCATGCAACACCCTAAACCCTGAGCCCCAAACCCAAAACTCCAAACCCGAAACCGAAACCCTCAACCCTAAACCTTAAACCCTAAAACTTAAACCCTAAACCCTAAACCTCTCTACCACATGAACCCTGAACCTAAGCCCCAAAACGCCCCTCGCCACGCCCCTGCGAGTTGCCAAGAAGCTGATTCCAAGCAACAGCAGCGCTAAGCCCACCGACCTCTCGGGCTACAGGGAACTCCAGAAAGTTGGAATAATCTTACTTAAGGAATATACCTCAAATGTTAACAGGATCCCTAATATGATTTAAGGACTAATCCTTAGTTAAGGTAAAAGCCAGAAAATTGGAATATGACTATCCTAAACCCTTCTATGGTAAATTATAGGGTATCCTACCCTGAAACCATATTCCAACTTTCTGGAGTTCCCTGTAAGTGACGCTCCGCATGCTTATTCTTACCTTGGGTTAGGAGGGGTTTAGGGTTTAAGGGTTTAGGGGTTTAGGGTTCAGGGTTTGGGGGTTTGGGGGTTTAGGGTTCAGGGTTTAGGGGTTTAGGGGTTTAGGGGTTTAGGGGTTTAGGGTTCAGGGTTTGGGGGTTTAGGGTTCAGGGTTTGGGGGTTTAGGGTTCAGGGTTTGGGGGTTTAGGGGTTTAGGGTTCAGGGTTTAGGGGTTTAGGGGTTTAGGGTTCAGGGTTTGGGGGTTTAGGGGTTTAGGGTTCAGGGTTTAGGGGCTTAGGGGTTTAGGGTTCAGGGTTTGGGGGTTTAGGGGTTTAGGGTTCAGGGTTTAGGGGTTTAGGGTTTAGGGTATGGTACTTACCTTTGGTTAGTAGGGAATGGAGGAATGGCGTACAATGATAACACCTATTACTACCATTCTTCCATTCCCTACTAACCAAAGGTAAGTATTGTAGGGTTGGCAGATAAAGGGTTCTATGACGTCTTTAAAGGGTGTTATAACTATATAGTCGTTTTAGAACTAAGGGGTCTTGGCCTCTCTGGATACTTCTTGTGTGTGATCTTCCGGGTAGCTTGGCTCGAAGCCTCTCAAGGCCCCCAAACTCCAACACCCTCGAAACCGTCAATCAAACGCTCAACCCCTACAAGGCAAACCTCCTAACCCCGAGCTGCGGAATCCTCTCTAGGAAGCCAAGACCAGACTGAAGATATCACGACAGGTGGAATGCGGCTCCCTAAGTAATGGGATTCCGTTTATTCGCACCCGACTTCCTGCTAAAATGCCACCTGCTAGAATCCCTTCTGGCTTCCCACGATACAAAAACACTCTAGACTGTCAAGCACACTGCACAAAGCCTTGAAAAAACCTGGGTATCAACCCCATAAGGTGCACGACCCCCTTTTTACATAAAAGGATCCAGGCCAGTCCTGGCCTGAAGGCGGACGCCACCGCTTTCACCATGATGAGAAGCTCCGGCACCTTGCGGATGATCCTGCGGCCATGGACTGACGATGAAAGGATTTGGGGGGGTCTAGGTTTTGGGAGCCAAAGGCTTTCGGAGTTTAGGATTTAGGGTTTAAGGCTTTCGTGGATCTAGGTTTTAGAAACCATAAGTCCCCTAATATGGGTTATAAGTGTAGTTACACCCTTAGAAGAACCGTACTTATAACTACCCCTGAACCTCCAAGAAGGCTTTTGGGGTTTAGGGCTTTCGTGGCTTCAGGGAGGGGTTCCGTGGTTCATGGCTAAGGGGCTCAGGAAGTACGGGTTTATGCAGGGGCCTACAGGGCTCGGCCTTTGAGGTTCTAGGGTTTTTCAGGGTGTCGACCTTCAGGGTGCAGTATGGGATGTGAGCCTGGGAGTTCATGTGAAAGACGAAAGTGGGAGTTTCCGAACATTAGGGGTACCCTAGTTTGGGTCCTTGTAATAAGGATCCTACTATCTAGGGTAGTATATTCGGGTCCCCTATATATTTTCGGAAACTCCCAAGTCAAGCTATGTATAAGAGGGCGCTTTCATGGCACTGGACAAAGCTGCTGTGATGTGCTACCTGCATACTTTAGGGGCCACACTACACGACCAACCCACCAGGGCCTGACAAGGAATGCAGTCCCCAAACCCTAAACCCTAAACCCACCAGGGTCTAACAGGGAATGCAGTCCCAGGACTTCTTTCTCGTGGCATTTAAGTAATGGGTTTCGGATTCAACATCTCGTTTAAAGAATGCTCATAGAAGCCGCGCTGACGATGTTTCTAGCGTCTTTCGGTAGGGTCGCTTGATTCCTACATCCCACACCTTACGCATCAATTCTTGACAGGTTGCCTTGGGGGTTTGTCGAGAGACTGGAGCCTTTCCTAGAGCGCGCTGCTGCCATAGCACTGAGCTTAGCCCTCAAAGAAAGTCTCTGAAGCCCCAGCGTTCGGCAGCCAAGTGGCCTTGCCATCCGCGCCAGACGGGTGAGCCGCATCAGCCTGGCAACTAAACCCCGAGGCCTTCGTGCAAAAAGGATGGAAATACATTCTCACCAAGGTCATCACCACCAAGATCGTCAACATGCTCGTTGGCAGCATCACCACCACCACCACCACCAGCAGCAGCAGCAGGGGCCCCGCATCGCGGGCAAGCCCACAATCAGTATCATCACTGTTGTTTGACCATGTGCCAACTCGCGCCCACAGAGCGGTTCATGTTTAGCTTGGGCACAAGCACCCAGAAGATAACCTCCTCAGCGGAATGCAGGCAACTGGTCTAAGCTGACGCTCCTCCGGCGTAAGTAAGATGTTTAATTAGACTAGTGTCGAAGATCGCACGTTGGAGCCCCACTTGTGAATTCATGTCCAACCTGGGTATCCTACAATCCATGCTGCGGCCCTGCTGAGCTCATCAGCTCCAACATCCTGGATGCTACATTTGCAGCTCCCCATCCTTCCAGATGTCACATCGGTACTTCTAGTGCCACGACGATGCGAAGTCTGATCAACGGCATAGCAACTGGAGGAATGATCAGAATCCTGCACCGCTAAGCCCCAAACCTCCTCAGCCCCTACTATACAATGGCAATCAACTATGAGTGGCAATACCCTGAACCCTTAAACCCAAACCCTTAAACCCTAAATCCTCAGACCCACTCAGTCCCCACTAAACAGAGCCAACCACGCTGCGCACCTGGCCATGCGGAGGATGGCGGCATCGCCCAGAAAGTTGGAATCGGCTCCGCCGCCCATGGAGGCCATCGCTATGATCACGAGATTCAATACCTCAGGGTAGTTCACTCTTGCTTGAATGTCCTGAAGTTCAAGGTCTAGGCTCCGGGCTTTTCGTTTTTTTTTGAGCCCCTTTTTCCCGAAGTCCCACGCAGCGACCGGGCTTTTCGGGGCTGAAGCATTTGATTTAGGGTTTAGGGTTTCGGGCTTTTCAGGTTTACCGGGCTAACTCGGGGCACAGAAGACGTAAGGCTCAGGGGCAGGGCTGCAGGCTCGAAAGGAACCTGAAATCTTGGGCTCGGTATCGTTGGATCCCAAAACGAATCCCTGAAACCCTTGACAGAATGAAACCCCCACAGGAACGTCATAGAACCCTGAAAAAACCGCTTCAAAACAGCTGGAAAACTCATGGCGTGTACCCTGCACCCTCGTCGCAAGACACCCTCGTGGCAGAGATACTGTTGATGGACAAAATCCTGCATGACCTTAAGGACCCTAAATTATGGGAATTATGGTATATTCCTTAAAATGGGCAATGCAGGATTTTGTCCATCAACAGTATCGAGCATCAGGTTTTCTGATTGCACGGAAACCTGCTCTAGCATGGCGCATGGCCTAGGGATTAGGGTTTAGGGTTTAGGGAAACTGCCTAAGCCGCCCTGAACCCTAAGCCTCTCGTCGAACGCTAAGAGCAACACCCAGGTTTCGGCCACCATCATGAAGACGAGAACGAAATCGAACCTCGCACTGCCACGCGCACTTGATGGGGGCTCAGGGATTTGGGGATTCAGGTGAGGTTTTGGGGTGTCGAGCTCGTGGCTGTAAAAGGGCAGAAGACTACCGAAAGCTGCAAACGAAACAACAGCCATCATCGCACCTTCAATCCCCAACGATTTGAACCACAAACTAGGCGGGTCCCTGCCCACACTAAACCCCGAAAACCGAATAGGGTTTAGGGTTTAGGGTTCCGAAAAAACTCTCAGACAAGAGGAAAAAAAGCCAAGCAACCGAGAAGGCCGAAAAGTGTGTTTCAGCACGTTCCCAAGGCGAAACAAGGCAAAGGCAGAGGAACCCTGAAACCTTACAAAGGCGCAGGCACCGAGACCCTGAAACCCCTAAGCCTTAAAACAGCAAAGGCGCAGAACCCTGAAACCTTAAGAAATCACAGGCACAGAGAGACCCTAAAGCAGCAAAGGCGCAGAAACCAGCCATCCTTAAAGGCAGTTAGCTTCCGCTCGAAGGCCATGAAGCCTTGGCTTTTCTCGAAAATACGGGGCCTCACATGTCAGGGTAGGGGCGGTTCTCTTAATTGGGATCCCTTCTGGATCCCCAGACCGCAGAAGCTACCCTAAACAAGAAAACTAGGCGTAGGTCTATGGGGATATAACATCCGAAATACTACAATATATAAAGCGCCATAAGGGGGCTGTCAAGGCATAATCCCAGAGAAATACTGGGACCTAGGAACTATATTCATTTCAATACCTCCATGAGGTGGACAAGAAGTGCCTGCTTTTCTGGAGTTCAGAACTTGGAGTCCATCGTAAGCCCTAAACCCTAAACCCCACGGTTTGGGTGTTATTACACGTATAGTTTTCATGAGGAACCCCAAAGAGTTGTGTTGCTCATGGGTTTTGGGGGTTAGGGCTCTGAGATTAGGGCTTGGGCTTGGGCTTGTGGTTCAGAGCTGGCTTCAAGGCTGAGATGTTTTTAAGGCTTAGGATTTAGGGTTTAGGGTCTAGGATTCAGGGTTTACGGTTTAGGGCTTGGGGGTCGCGGGTTTAAGAGGTATAGGATTCAGAGTTAGTTTTTGGGGGTCAGGGTTTCGGGCTTCGGGCTCAGGATTTGGGGTTTGCGGTTGGAGGCTTGGGATGTAGGGTTGACTTGTGGGGCCGAGCGGGCCCTCAATCACACTCTCCATCCCCTCGCGGCGAGGTTTTACTCAAATCCAAAGCCAGTAAGATGAAGAAACAGAAAAATCTTGAAAAAACAACGAGCCACTAGAAACGGCGCTATGCGCCATGGACACTGACCCCTTCACAGGAACTTCTTCGAGCTGTGGGTTTCCGTCCGTTTCGGGTTTCCGTCCGTTTCGGGATTCTTTTGCCCTGGGTGGGGCTTTCGCGTGGGAATCTCGCCTGTCGGCTCATCAGCCAAGAGGCGAATCAGCAGCTCCTCAGAGGCTCAGGGGGTTTTCCGAGACCCCTAAACCCTAAACCCTATAAACCCTAAGAATCAGCAGCTCCTCAGAGGCTCAGGGGGTTTCCGAGACATCAAGAAGTCATTGGCTGCCCCCTCACATGTTGAACTAAAGCCGCCACGCTCCCACTCTTAATAACACAAGCTACTGAAGCTCATCGCGCAGGGCATACTTGAAAATCAGCCGCAACTGAAAGAGATAGCATATGATATAGCCTACGTTGAATCACTACGTCAAAACCTGTAGAGCTTTGGAGAGTTCGGCCCTGACCCCAAACCTGGAACTCTAAACCCTAAAATAAACCCCAATCAAACCCTAAACCTTCGTCAAACCCTTGGCTAAGCCCTAAACCAAGCACAGAGATTGTTTTTCCCTTGTCTGACCCATGGAAAATAGCACCCTCAAAAGAACTCAAACTGTTTGTAGAGCGAACACCATGCCACAAAGATACCTTATTCGGCTTATTCGGGGCCCCTAAAAAAGCCCCCGATCGATTGGGACTTGAGGGGGGGGTGGCTTATAACAAGTCCCATCGTTCAGGGTCCCTTAATTTTGGGGTTTCTGCTGGCCAAAGCTGCTCCAAAGAAGTAAAGGCAGAATATCTGCCTCAGCATCAAGTAGAGAGCTTCAGTTCGAGTTTAGTGTAGGGCTTCGGGTTAGGATTCTCGAGGTTCCTAAACCCCATCGAAATGATGACAAGGCTTGGCAAGTTGAACAAACCTCCTGAGCCGCTACAGAGACACGAAGGGGAGTTCTTGAAGATAGAGACTCCCTTTCAAGGATCCTGACGAAGAGGATCCTATGATTTGGAGTGTACCTTAGTCTCCCCTCTTTCGAAGCCTGAAGCTGCTAGAAAATCCTTGGCTAAGCTTCGACCTGCGGGTCCGGACCGGACCGCAGAGTGTGCAGCCCAAGGTGCTCACAGACGATGAAAAACGGGTGCGTCTGCGTGATTATGGTCGCCGGATTCCAATCCTCGGGAACTGCTTCGTCGAGATTTCCAGGGTGCAAGGCTTCGAGGGCTTCAGGATGATTTGTATCAGAAGACATATCTATC